AGATTACTACTTGATATAAATTTCAGAGTCATAAAATTTTAAATAATAATCATAACACATATTAAATTATTTTGTCTTCCACTTGTTTCTCATCAATTTGCTCGTCTGCAAGTTTCTTATGGTTAAACAAAAAAAACAACCAAAAGGAGTATCAAAGATGTAAGATTTTATTATAAGAGATATAAACATTAAATTAAAATCGATAACTCTCTTAACTATATGTAATAAATAAGAGAGAAGAACACGTTATATACAATGAGCAAACATTTAGACTTTGTACAAACACATGCACACTCTTGATGTTTAAAACTACACAATATTAGAAGTGAATGACTTTTGCTTTAAAAGAAGGAGTGCAAAGCATTCCATGATTCTGATAGGACTTATTTTGAGCAATAATTTCATAGTATATAGTTGATGGACAAATATTAAATACATCAAATTTTTTAATTATATATGTCGGAATATAAATAATTTATTATTTTCAATAGAGTCAGTATAGATGACATCACTTATGTAACTTATTCTCGACTGTGGTGTGTGGCCCTCAGGTTATTTAAGGTAACCTCGTAGATGGGATACGAATCCCTTATTTCAAGGAGATCCGATCCTGTCACGGCTAGAGCGAGACTTCTGTAATCTATACTCTCGCCTCTATTCATACCAAGGGACACTAATTATCATGACACTAATTTTTAAGGTGTTGAAACCTAGCTTTGTTCAGTTACTAAAACTCGAACACGGGTTGGCTTGACCTTTAATGGCTGCGTTTCATCCGATGAGTGAGAGAGCCGGTTGCCCTTTCCCTACCCTTCCCTACCATTTCCTTATTCCTATTCCTAAAAAAAGGTTGTCAACGCATCCGTAACAAAGATGTTGTTGTGCATGTCCATGGGCGACGGTATTTGCCTTCCACGAAGTAGGCCGCCGCGCTTCAATTATTGATAATTCAAATAATAGTACTTGCCCCAATATATATTTAAACAGTTCATTATACACATTTATTTGTTATTATATATAATTTATAAATACCAGATAATAACTTGTAAAAGATATTAACATGTCAGTGAGCACGGTGACCTTTTACTAAAAAAAAAATACTACTATTACATGCTGTAGTCTCAAATATTAAATAACTTATTTGTAATTGATAAAATATAATGTTAATATTGATATATATACAAGATTATAAAATGACTCATGCCATGTGATAAGGAGGCAAACAAATAAATAATTGAAAGGCCATCGATAACACAATGCTATTTTAAAATCTTATTTTTACGAATGCTTTATATAATGTCATAAATTTTCTTTCATAAAATTAGTAATATAATAATGTATACGTCAAGAAAAACTTCAATGTGTATTCCTCCTAATATTTTAAAGATTCATATTATCAGTAGCAAAATATTTCATCATTTATTTATATGAACAAAGTTAAATTGACGAAATGTGTATATAAAAGTTGATTTTAAAATGATTCTTTTTTAGAATTAATGAAATAACATTTTCTAAGATTTCCTTTCTATAAATTGATAGAAAAATAGATGAAATTTAAAGAAAAAATATGTAGTATAATTTCATAATAAAATTTTCTATTCTTAATTTTTCATTTGGTTTGAACCTTTATAGTCAAAATCATATCTAAATATGGATGTACATATAACATTTTATAATATTATACATTCAATAGGTCCAAGGGTATATTTCCTTGGTGAGAGGACACATCATTTACCCTGGTCGGGCCCTTCGGGCCCGAATTAATCGGGTCGGTCCCATCAGGACCACCCACCCCTCTCAGTGACGCTGTCAAAGCCACTAGGGCTAACAGCATATGTCAATTCGAATCTAAAAAAACATCATTTGAAGTCATGTCGTCGACCGATTCAAAGGGTAGTGGTATGTTTTCTTATGAAGTCGTATGGAGGATGGAGCTGAACAAGCTGGCTCTATTCACAAGGTACCTGACTGTGATTAGAGCCAATTAAGAAACACTGTCTTTTCGCCGCTTCGAGTTCTTGGTGATAGAGGGTAGCGCAAAGCAAAGCAAAGCGAGACAAAAGAGTCTTTGACAAAATAATTGAAAAATTTGACGTCATCTGTGAATTTTAGAGAAGTTTATTTATATTATATATGTAAAAGGTTGATAATAATGTTGTTCGTATTGCCCAACCTTACAATCTTTTTATTTACTTGTTTTTCTCCATTTACACAGCAATTATATAAGTTTACTTAACACAGTTTATAAACGAAACAGCTTAATACGCTTGTTTGTCAACAGTTAGTCCTTGTCCGATTGATCACATTGTGTACAAGTCTTCAGCTTAATGACGACAACGAATTCAAATACTGAAAATTGATTTCAAATTAACTTAACTAGTTAGAAAAATGTGAAATTTGCTCGTATGAACACTTTGATAATCACATAAGTTGATGACATGTAACAAAATAGTTAGAACTTTAAAATCAATTTTATTGATAAACATCGACAGAATGGAATTTACACATAAATTCTACAGTAAATTTTTATGACTACTTTGTCAAAGTTTATGTTAAAGTAAACAAATTGTAAATGGCTTGGGACACTTAAAAAAAACAAACTACATAAGAAGACTTTCCAGTTTTTCATTAAATAATTTCATAAAAGGTTGACCAAGACCAAGAATTTGCCGGCGGGGGGCTGGATGCAACCGGATTCCCAGCCCCCTGTCAGTCAGGCGAGGTCGGAGCGGTTCTTTTAGTGGGTATACCGGGAATCCTTACCCCGGGGAGTCCCACATACCCCTCTCCGTCCCCCGACGGGGGGGGATACGTAAAGCATTTTTTCCCAGTGCGCACAAAAAAGTCTTAGAATTTCCCTTTCATTAGCTAATCATCAAATGATGATAAATATCTAGTGATCTGATAGTGGACAGAGATACGACAATGTCACTCGTTTTTTTCTACACTGGACCAAGTAAAGCCACAAAACATACATAAGCTAGTCATAATTTAATTTTATTTGGTAATATTATTAGAAGTTAAATCAAAAGATTATTTTTTTATGATATGTGATGGCACACGTCAAAGTTTATTAGGGTACATAATAATATGTAAGATCGTAAACAACAGATATAAATCAGTTATGATTCAGCCACGAGTGAGTCATATCTCATAATGATAAGTTATCTGGATGGAGACACAATTATCAAATAATAATAGAATAGCGAAAAAGGTGTCAAAATTAATATCAGTTATATATGGAATTTTCACATTTTATTCTTATCAGAATTTTAAGGATTTTGTAAAATTGAAAGAGGCAATTTTTTTATTAAAAGATCAGCGTGAGAACTTAAATAGTCATTTTAATATAACGATCTACAAAACTCCTTTTCATTTTATATTATTTTTTAATAACTGATGTTTTTTCATGATGTGTGTGTATTTATTATTTGCTTAACCTGTAGATTGCTAGTAGCTAAAATTGGGAATAAAATGGAAGAATCAATTTCACGACATCACAATAAAACAAGCTTCTTTACTACCGATGTTCATTTAAAATAAAAATGGACATATAGACATAATCTTAACCTATCTGAAACATATGAAAATAGAATTCACCTCTTCTGTATATACAATAAAGGAAAGTTATTCAACTTAAACATATATAATATCACATTGATTCTAGAACTAACTATTACTATTTTTGTACATACGACATGGGCCCGTTCTTGTTGTCCTTGAGATCCAGAAAGTTTATATCTAAGAAGAAATATGTAGTCAGTTTCAGTTCCATGCTGCAGACTGTTTTAAACAAATGTTTCACATATCTTTCATCATCATCATCATCATCAGCCTATCAGAGCTGACTTCTGCGCAAAGGCCTCTTCTCACATGGAGAAGGTTTAAGCATTAATGACCACGCTTGCTCAAGACGGGTTGGTGATTTGAAACTTTAGTTTGAAATTATAAGTCCAGGTTTCGTCGCGATATTTTCCTTCACCGTAAGTCAGTGGTGTCTAAAAATTCTTAAAAAGTACATATAACTCGGACGAGATCACATTGGTACTCGCCAGGTTACGAACCCACGCCCTCACGCACGAGAGACGGCCTTTAACCTCTAGGCCACCATGACCAGTAAACCATCACATATCTTTGGCAACTTTCAATTATTGAACTCTATGTTGTATAATGGTGTGTCATAGCACAACACAGTTATGGACTCATTGTCGTTGTCTTCGCGGTCTGGAAAGTTTAAACCTCGGAAAGAGTAAGTACTCAGTTTCTGTTCCATTCTATAGACTTGTTAACCAAATGTTTCACATATCTTTGGCATCATTAAATGATTGAGCTCTTTGTTGCATAATGATGTGCCACAGCACAACACTGTTAACGCACAAATATGTAACCCTCGCTGAACAGAATTGTAATGCTTGCTTTATTTTTCCAGTGTTAATTTTATTTTATTAACTATTTCACAAATTACTTCCAAAGATAATCTCAAACAGTACTGGAAATACTGACTTTTTGATACATTTCAATTAAGAATTTCCGTTTTAACTAGCAGACTTCATAGTTGGTACCTTTTCCTTATATTTTTTACAGATCGTTTCGATAAGAGACAAAGGCCATGAGCCAATCATCAATTTCGATTTATCAGTAAACAAAAGTCTTTGAATGATAAGGAAACACTTAATTAGTCATAGCACAAGCTCTATATAACACATTCTGTTCAGGCTGAAAGAGTTGTAACAGTTGGAACTTTTTCTACTAAGCCCATATAAAGGTCAGGAAATTATTTAATTTGATTAATATATACCAACAATATAATACTCTGGCGATAGCAAAAAGTAATTTTACAAAATATCCAAATTTTATTTACAATATCTCTTATGTAAAATAACTTATTTATGATTTTTTGTTTTAGGAACACTGGAAGAGATCCCTCTCGTATCATTTAACTTCAGAAGCTCAGTTTTCAAGTTTAAGTTTCTTCTAGTCGCTGTGATTTCCACTGAAACATGACTGAGGCAGAACTAATATTACGTGATTTCTTAGAATCAGTTCTTAAGGAACGAGGTTCCCAACAGAAAGAAGTGAGAATACAAGAAATAAACTCAGACGGTGCTAATTATACAGCGCTATTATTTTTAATAAACGTAGAAACTTTTGATAAAGAATTAAAATTGTTTGCGAAAGTTGCTAACATAACCGATGAGGCAAGGAGGGCTTTGGATTGTGACAATTTATTCTGCACTGAGAAATTTGTTTACAACCAACTTATACCTCTTTATAAAAATCTCCAAAAAGATTTAGATGAAGAACACAAGTTCATATTTCCTGAATTCTACGGCTTTAATGATGTTTACGGTAAGGAAATAGTCATATTAGAAAATGTACTTGAAAGTGGTTATAAGCCTTACAGTCGTTTTAAATCCATGGATTGGGATCATGGCAGAGTTTGTGTGGAGGCTTTAGCACGGTTCCACGCTCTGTCGTTTGCATTGAGGAAGAGTGACCCAGAAGGTTTTCAAAAAATTGCTACGGACATGGCGTTGCGTTCCGATACACAAAGTATGGAACATTATAATCTATACCAATTCGTCACTATGGTGGAAGATGCTGGAAGATTTTTAAAAGATGATCATCTCGATAAAGTGAGGAAATTGATGTATTGTAAGGGCAATTTTGAAAAATTTAAGAAGCCCCTCAGTACACCGGTCATAGTCCACGGTGATTACAGACTAAGCAACTTGCTTTTTAAAGGGACGGTGAGTTTAGTTTATATAACTCATTTATTAATAGCTATGTTCAAATTTTTATATACTTTATAGAAAAATAAACGAACAGAATATGTTAATAGATTTGATAATATACTTGTGTCCGCCTCTTTTATGCATTTATTTTTTGTTAGTTAATTTTACAATGAAGTATATATTTCATTTACAATTGACATTTTTATGTTCTCTAAAATTATTTTAACAATTCTGCATATTCGGATATGAGTGCGTTTGTTTTCTTTTTATTAATTTAAAATGAAGATGTTAAATGAAAACGAAAGTCGTATACAAAACATATGCATGTCATATTACGTAACGTAGATTAAAGTTTGATTTAGACATTATATATAATTAAATTTTAGGGTATACTTGAAAATTTTCACAACTTATTCATTTTACTCACTAAGTTGTAAATCAATTTTTCACATTATTTATATACATACACTTGTTTATTGAAAATTAATCCAGTGATGTTAACTTCGTTTTCCTTCCTTGTACCAACCAATTCTCACTTATTTATTGACTAGTTCTTTTTTAACCACATTATAAACATATGTAATCCTTTCCAGGGATCTGATCTTGAGACAGTAGTAGTCGATTACCAGACCGTTTATATTGGATGTCCCGTAGCAGATCTCTACTACATCATATTTCTGGGCTCAGATGAACACTTCCGAAGTCTCTATTATGACAAACTAATAAATCATTACTATACGAGTCTAGAAGAAGCTCTGAAGAGGTTGGCTGTAGATCCTGTAGAAGTGTATCCGAGAGAGAACTTTGAAAGTGATTTGAAAGAGGTAATGATGGAGTTATTTAAAATATTATACTTAATGTTTAGATGACTTGAAATGAAAATTTCAAGAACAAATTATGGTACGTTATGATATTATTTACATGTAGTGAAATCAACTCTTACCTTTTCAGTCATTACCCTTCGTTGTTTTGACGGCCTTGGCAGCCTTACCAAATGTGCTGGCAGACGTCGGATCAGTACAGAAAACGAATTGTAAATTTGATGTGAAAGATTTTATAAAGCCAAAATTTAGTGATTTATATAAAGAGCGACTTAGAGGAATTATAAGTGACTTCGTCAGTTGGAATGTCATTTGATGTGTTAACAAATAGTTCTAGATTTAACTTTTATGGTTATAATGTAAATACAGATATATGTATAAGTCATGAGATCTTAAATACATAATGAAATATAAAATATGTTTTTTAATACACCATTTTAAACAGTGCGAATAAAGTCATTGACCTAAACTACTTTATATAAACATATATACATATTTATGTTCAATCGATAAATCATATCGTTTTCTGTTTAAATTCATATTACAAATTAATTTCTATTTCCTTCAAAATCTAAGGATTTTTTACGATCAAATTTTTTTATATTACTCCGTAATTAGATTTTTTGGAAACACTGTACGATAGTATTAAAATTTCAATTTATTTTAAGTTGGACATTTGAATGTATCACTCGTAGGGGTTTTACAATTTACAAATTAATTATCATTAAACGTTGCAGACAGTAATTAGAATTATTTTGAATTAATGGTTTTGTTTTTAAAAATAAAAGATAATACAAAAATACAAATGGACATTAAATTCCTGTTGTCAATGGAAGACCATCGTCTTTTATAAGTTCAGATATTATGTACCCTTTTGGCAATATCAGTATTCAGTACCCCGAATTAGAGGGTGTTATTATTTAAAAGATTTTCAATATTAAAAAAGTTAATTTTGATACTTTAAAATATACCAGAAAGTTGCCAAGTGTAATGTAAAATAATGATTTGCAATATATTAAAATTTTCTTACACAAAATAAATACGGAAAGTAAATAAAAAATAATAGCAAAACTTGAAAGACACCAAAAAATCTTTTAATTTAGCTTGAGAATATTTAACAGAAATTGTGTATCTGAGCTGAAAGTATGTCCATATTTTATAGTAAAAAAGGTAAATTTTGAAATAAATGATGATTTAGTTAATGCAAGGGGAAACAACTAATATATTACGTCCCTTATCGTCAACTCGACCTACACAAGAGAAATCCTATTCTAACTAGTAATAGATGAGAATCCATACGCCTCTTATTACTAGTAAAATATATATAATAGCACAAAGACTAATCAATAAAAATAAATCCTAATAAAGAGTAGTAGGGCCTTCAAAGAATGGTTTCAGTATTGCCGTCACAACAAACCTATGTCTTATTAATTATGGCCATATGCTCTAAATCCAGCTTCATGAGCATCACTTCAAAAAAAAGCTATACCTAATAATACTGAGTTCTGAATACAATCATATGACGGTGAACTAAAGAGATCTTTATCAAACGCTGCATTAGCATGGTGAAATGGAAATGAGCATGAGAACGTATTGAGATCTTCATACAAACATATTTCAATTTTTATTTAGTACTAGAAGACCTGGCGAACTTCGTATCGCCCTATTTTCAAGAAATATCTATTACGTTTTTTTATTTATATTTTTGGAGTTTACCTATAAGCCATAAATCTCCGTATTTTGAAGTGCGACAGAATGATTGACATATTAGTTAGTTGTCAAATCTAATGTCAAAAAAAACGTTTGTATGGGAAATAGAAAAGTTCTCTTTTTATGGTTTTCCCAGTAATGAATCAATTTTATACCTTCCCTGAACCTCCACGAACATTTCAAGACTAAGATAAGATTTTAGCTGTTCTTGAGTTTTAGCGAGACTAAGGAACAGCAATCCATTTTCATATATATAGAAGATAAGACAATTTGCTTCAGTTCATCTGCTGGGAGAGGATGTCTTGATATTAATTCCATATAGTTTTTAGAAAAAAAGCCTGTTTGATTAATATTAAATATAAAACTTTTGTTAAATGTAAAAAGGACAGTCTGCGTCCTTTGATATGGCAGAGAGGCTGCCTTGGTAATGGAAAAAGAAAAGAAAACTTTATTATTGAAATTAAATCTATACATAAAGTAATTTAATAACAATGTACCTAAAATATAAAAAAAAGAACAAAGTGTTCTCTTCAAATATTTTTCTGAAGTTTTACTAATCCTTCGCAGACCTTGAAAGAAAATTCGAATGTTAAATGATTTTGAATATTCAATTTCAACAGGTATAAAAAATGTGAATAATAAAAAATGTACAGGGAACATTTCCATAACACATCATTAAATAGTCAGGCTTGCAAGAAAAGAGATGTTTTGTGGTGGTTCCTTGTGATCACTGATTTAATTTTTTTACTGAATTTAATTTAATTTTGAAACAACTGAAATTTATTAAATTATATTAATATAAATATGTTTACAAATAATATAAATATTTTAACAAAGAAATTTGTTCAATTTGACATTTTTAAAACAAGATTAAAACTCCTACAAGATAAATTCTATGAATTAATTTAAAAAAATGACTATAAAAAACTGGTTTAACAATTTACGTATACAATAATAGACCTAAAGAATTTATTTAACAAAAATTACTTGTTAATTATGTAGTACCTCTTTTCAGAAATCACCATGTTTTAAACAAATTAATTAACGTTGTTATTACACATACATATGTATGTATGTACGAGTATATCCTTTAAATAAAAACCTCGACAACTGATAAAGTGTTCATATAAAACTTATACGTTCTATTCAATATACAAGTTAGATTCAAGTAGAGCGTTTATTAAACTCGTCCTCATTACGTTTCATTTAAAATCATCAAGTAAATAGTATATTTTTCTTCAGTATTGCAGTGGTTACAGTTGAAATATGACTGATACAAAAAAAATACTGCTTGATTTCTTAGACACAGTGTTAGACGATAGGGGCTACAAACAAAGAGATGTTCACATAAATGAAATAAAAACAGAAGGTAATAATTATACGTCCGCATTGTTTACAGTAAACGTAAAAACAGAAGAAAAGGAATTAAAACTTTTCGCAAAGGTTGCTCAGATCGGCAAAGAGATGAGAGTAATAGCGAACGCAGACAACCTGTTCAGAACAGAGAGATTCGTGTACAACAAACTTGTTCATATTTATAACAATCTCCAAAAGCATTTAGACGAAGAACACAAGTTCATATTTCCTGAATTCTACGGAGTTAATAGTGAGTACGGTAAGGAAACAGTCATACTGGAGAATCTAAATGCAAGTGGGTACAAACCTCACAACCGTTTAAAATCAATGAACTGGGACCAAGGCAGAGTTGGTGTTGAATCATTAGCACGGTTTCACGCGTTGTCCTTTAAACTAAGTCAAAGTGATCCAGAAGGTTTTGCCAAAATAGCCGATGATATGGTTTACATTCTCAACACCGCATCAGTGAATGAAAATACTATTAACCAATTCATTGAAATGGTTGAGAACGCTGTTAAAGTTTTAAAACAGGAGCATCGAGAGAAAGTCAGGAACTTCATGTATAGACCTGACCTGTATGAAAAATATAACAAACCTCTCAGCACACCCGTCTTAGCTCACGGTGATTACAGATTAAGCAACATGTTGTTTAAACGTAAAGTAAGTTTAATACAAACATGTTTTGTTTATATACTTACTATAAAAGCCACTGTTACTTAGATATTATAATAATTTAAAGACTTGTGATATATTAAATCTTTAATAATTTCCAGGGTCATGATCTGAATGCTGTAGTAGTTGATTACCAGACTCTTCACACGGGATGTCCTGTGTCAGATCTATTCTATTTTATATTTACGGGCTCAGATGAACACTTTCGCCGTCTGTATTATAACAAACTAATAAATCACTATTATACGAGTCTAGAAGAAGCTCTCAAGAGGTTGGCTGTAGATCCTGTAGAAGTGTATCCGAGAGAGAACTTTGAAAGTGATATGAAACAGGTAATAATACAGTTTAATATGGACTTTTAATAGTCAGTGGTGGCCCAGTGGTTAAAGGCCCGTCTCTCATGCATGAGGGAGCGGGTTCAATCCTGGCCCGGGCAAAACTACCAATGTGATTTTTCTGAGTCATATGTACTTTCTAAGAGTATTTAGACATCACAGATTAATGCATTCCCAAAGAGGGTTGATGTCAGGCAGGCAGGCATATTCACAACATGTAAGGCAGACCCTGGCTAAAGCTGGGAAATTGCCAGGAAGAAGAAGAATATTTACTAATGTATGTAGTTAATAAAAATGAATGATATTTATTAAAAAACTCAGAACAAAATATTGTTCTATACTGAAGTGGACACTACAGTAATTTCATGACACAAGTGAAATATAAATAAACACTTTTAAGTTATAATGTTTAAGTATTTACTTGATTTCAAAATATTTATATTGTTTTAAGAGCCGGCTGTTACTAAGACACAAAAAAACTGTTTTAAAATAATACAAAACACTCACTGTATCAACTTATACATGCGTTTGTATCTATAGAAGCGAAAAAAAATGTAGCATACTTAATATATACTGAGCGCTTTTCAAAATTACACTAAAATGTATAGGTATGTTGAGTAGAAAAAGTAATTTAACTTAGTAATTAATATTTTCAGCTATTACCCTACGTTGTACAAACCGCTGTAGTCACATTGCCAATGGTAGTAGTGGAAGCTGAATCTATGCAGAAATGGGATACTGAAGACGCTGATTTTTCTTCATTAGTTTTGAAACCTACTGCTTTATTTGCTCAAAGGTTTACAGGAATAATAAATGACTTAATAAGATGGGGCGTTATATGAGAGATGTATATAATATATATTGCATAATAAGAGTCCTGAATCGAGTCTGATTATTGTGATGTTGATGTATGAATCTTATTCTTCGTCTTACTAATCAGTTATGTATTAAGTATACATTATTTTAGACTTACAGTAAAGTTTATTCAAGTGATTACTTGTTTTATTTTATACGTTTATCCTAAATGAAAGCTATGTCGGGTTAAACTGCAGCATCGTGAAATTCTATGAACATAATTCTGGATCTGTAATCATGGTACTACATAATTCACTCATTTCAATTTAATCTCTTACGTATCAAGAGAACAAATACACATCAACAGACGTTTTCAAATAAATAGTAAATTAATCATTATCACTGTTTTTGTTTAAAATGACAAAATAGTGTATGATTTTACTTCTTTGAGAATCAAAATAATTTTATCAATATTGGAATAAGATTACATAACCAAACATTCGTAAAGAACATTATGAAAATGGATACAAAATTGTAAAAAAAGTGATTGTACGCTGATAATAACTAATTATATAGTAATATGTCCAGAATCATAAAACATTAACAACTGGACATGGAAGTGGTGCTTCTTATGATATAAGACAACGGATGGTGAAAATAATCATAAAAATATATGGAACATCTCATAACCCTTAATACATACTAAACCTCACAATCCAAGCTTTCCGACCTAGGTATACTAATGAAAGCTGTTTTTTCATTTTTGCTTTTATTAATGCGTGTTTCAACGTTATTAGTAGAAATAGTAGTAGAGAGTATATAGTTTTTAGATTCTTCGAAATGAACTTAATGTGTTCTATAAGATTCACGTTTTGAGCAGACTCAATCATGACGCATAATATTTTTATACATATAATAAATATTATTATATAAAAATTAAAGAAAAATGAAGTATATGTTGAATATTTCGAAAGTTTTAGCTGATCATCTTTCAAAGCGATTCAGAAGATTTTGAAGAAAAAGCCAAGTATATAACATGAAGAAATAAAATACTATAATATGGATGAAATTACTAGAATTATTGTTATAGATATATCGGAGAAAACAAATAAAGAAATCTCAAAGAAAAGAAAAAATAGCAAATATGTTTTATAAAATATATACTATTAAAGTTTTTCAAATATTAATAAAAACACATTAATAAAATAAATAAATCAGAAATGAATTAAAAATGAACATCGCCGGTTCGTCATCTTTGTATCGGTGAAATATCGTATAACGAGTGACGCCGCTGACTCCGCAGAGCAAACACCAAGCCCTGTGAACCAGAAGATTCCACATACAACACAAGCAATAGAATGCCATTGTCATCCTAACATCGGAGCAATCATGTAGCCTTAGGTATAGGTTATAAGTTTTAACATGTAATTCTTATTTTAATATACATATAAGTATGTTTCTAAGTTTTCTTGGAACCGCCGGTTGCCACCCTATATAATTAAAATGAAATTAAAAATATTTAAAAAATAGCCAGCGCTATTATAATAAGGTATATATTATAATATGATAATAAGGTACTAGTAATTGATTATCAATTTGTTTCTACTAAATGTTCCGTGGTAGATCTTCTTTTCATTGCAAGGCGTTATTATTTAATACATTATCAACCGATAAAGTATTAAATCCTAACTATAGAAGTCTGGAAGTGACACTTAAGAGAATTTGTATTCCATACGTAGAAGTGTGTCCAAGAAAGAACTTTTACATAGATTTGAAAAATACTATAATTATAATTTTAAACTCATGAAAACTTTTTTGTTACTGTTTCTTGGCGTAAATGTCATTCTTAGTGATTTTGAAACGATTCAAGTTAGGTTTAGACTATAATTTATAAGTATTTATACTATAAAGTTATTTACACCAAACCATTTCATATCTCAATGCACTTGACAACTGCAGCTAGTCATTTTCGAGTCTGAAGTTGCTCCAAAATTTGATTCTGAAAAAGCTGAGTGTGCTTCGTCGATTGTTGAACCCAGTTGTTTATACATATAAGCAGCCATTTACAGCCAGTTCTATAAGATTTGTTACCACACCGCTCTTTTTATTGTGAATGAAGACCTCTTACACAATTTCGAATCCACTTGCTACAGTGATAACTAACAAAACATCATTATGTTTTCTAAAAACTACATATATTTTCTTAGAAACCTCGCTAAAACCTATTTAATATACTGAACGGGAAAAATCTCATCTGGCAAGGACCTAAATATTTGTAAGTAGAAATATCTGACCTCACAGTGTAAAAATAATAATTTAAAAAAAAACGTATTTCTTCAAAACATTCAAGAACAATTTTCTAGAAATCTTACAACTAATAGAAAATCTCGAAAGACCTGCTCAGATTTCCATCTACAAATAAGGAAAATATTGACAAAAATTGTTATGTCAAGTCAATTCATAAAGATCCAGCAAGTCTTTGCATCAAATTTTGGCTACCTGACGGCAAGCAAGTAAAAGTTCTGTACAAACATTTCTTTTCTGTACCTCAGTACACGAGAATTGCAAAATTTAAGGTCTAATGAATTTTATTTCTATTTATTATGTAATTTATTTATGTGCCTGATATAAATTTATCAATGAGCGTGTGAAAGAATTCTTTTGATTTTTTTCACCGGCGCCTTATTATATTTTTCATTATTATATACGATTTCATTTTTCTAATGAATAGTTTTCCTTGATTTTCCTATTATTTTTTTAAATTAAATCGTCGTTTTTAAAATTGTTTTATGTAATAATTAGTGTATCACTTTATATTGTCGGTGACCAGAAAAAACAAATCGGCACTCGATTCCTTAAATGTGCAAATGAAACCTTAGTTCCTTCTATCTATACTATATTATAAAGCTGAAGAGTTTGTTTGTTTGAAAGCGCTAATCTCCGAAACTACTGGTTCGAATTGAATAATTATTTTTGTGTTTATAGTCCAGTTATCGAGGAAGGCTGTGGGCTATATAACATCACGCTAAGACCAATAAGAGCAAAGATATAGTGGTAAATGTGTAAAATACGGGAGAAATTATTTCATCTTTGAATACACAAAACTCAATGAATTTCCAACGATCAATATATACATATAGTGATGATTTTTGATATATTTTAAGTTACTATAACTTTTAACACCTTATTTAAAAAACCAATAATTATATTATGTCAGTTAAAAATTACTTTTAATTGTAAATAAATTTATGTAGATAAGTATCGGAATAATCAGAAATTAGAATTTAGTAAATCGTAGAGAAGAAACACTTTCTACTCTCTTTTCTCTTGTGTTAAAATTCACATCAACGTCTTGACCACTTTGAGACTGTCCAACAAATTGTTTTTGTCCTAACAAAAGCGCTACTCATGAACTGAAAATATTGACGGATAACACAAGTAAATACTCCAAATAAAGGCTCGTATTCAACTCCTGTGAGGACCACAAGTCACTTCTAAGCGTAATTATTGGAATGTATTTTTAGAATAAACTAGCTTTTGCCGCGACTGCGTCCGCGTGGAATAGTGACTTCCGGCAGATTTTTGGTTCTTCCCACATAGTTCCCGTTCTTGCGGGGTTTTCGGAATGGTCGAGTTCCCGTAGAATTTTCAGGATAAAACCTATGTTTTTTTATTCACAATGAAGTACTCTCAACCAAAAACATATTTATTTGTTTATTTGAATAAAGATTAATATTATTATGTTGATATAACTTAAACAAATTATTTCGACCAAATTAGGTACCATAAAAACGGTTTTTGTGAGTTAATCTTTAAAGATAGATATATTATGTCGCGGACTGTTTTTTAGATCATTAAAAGAGCTATTATTCCTTTGTACATATTTTTTGTGTATCTTTGACTGTTTTCACGGCGCACGCACGGAGGGCTTCAAAGATGAAATAATTTCTCCCGTTTTTTACACATTTACCACTATATCTTTGCTCCTATTGGTGGTAGCGTAATGTTTTATAGCCCACAGCCTTCCTCGATAACTGGACTATCTAACATAAAAAAAATTATCCAATATGAACCAATAGTTTCGGAGATTAGCGCTTTCAAACAAACAAACAAACAAACAAACTCTTCAGCTTTATAATATTAGTATAGATCATATGATAAGTTAAATAAATAATAAAAATACTGACAATGTATTTTAAATAAGTCGCAAGCAAAATATGTGATAAAAATTATTATTTTAGAAATATGATTAGGTTTTATACTTGACTTATGTTTGGAACTAAACCTATCTTATTGGGAAGAGCGTGGTGCTCGTTATCGTAAATTTTATTGCGATCTCAACCAATTATGTGATTAATATGACAATATGACAGAATTAATACTGATATCTTTAATTTTATTATCGTACGAATTTAGTATATATGATAACTATTGGACACCTGCTAAAAATATATTTATCATACTCAACTTGCAAATTATTCATTGTACAGTGTATAGTTATATAAAATAAACAAAATATGATCATAAAATGGACGTCGTATTTTCTAACTTTTCTACCGTATCTTTGGAAATAAGGATTATTTTAAACGATGTGTAAAGAAACTAAGAAGGATTTTTACACTTTAAAAATATCAACGTAATTTGGACGTAAGAATACATACAGCCTAAAGAAAAATATCTATAATGTATATAAATTTTAATTGACTTATAATAATATATGATCACTCTTTTAGTAAAACGGTCGAAGGTACTTTGACACAGAATAAAACAAATTATACAGACGAATTTTTAATACATAAAAATTGCAACTTAAATACCACATTTATGGTTGTGATTTGTAAATGATGTCCTTCAAATTTGTTTCTAACCAAATTTAAATTCATGAATAATTTTCTATAATAATAAACATGAAAAACAATTTAATTGTATAGATAGTACACATTAAAAGTATTGATTGCATAACACATTGTTACTATGGATATATTTTGTACAGAACCCGATAACAAAGGTTCTTTATTGAGTTAATTAATTAATTATAATTGAAAAT